AAAAATGGGCCCATTTTTTGTCAAAAAACAGACATGATTAGCCTTTAGGAAGTTTATAGAATGCTCTTGGGGGCTGGGGGGGGGGAAACGAGCAAAAAACTGCCCATTGTTCGCTCATTTTTTCCCTTCCCAGCCCCCAGGAGCACTCTGGAAGCCTCCTAAAGGCTATGCACAGCCATTTTTGCAAAACGGGGGGATGTTTCAGGAGGCCAAAAATGCTGTGTGCTTTGGAGAATAAGTTGATCCCGTCTTCTTAGTGATATATTGAACCATTGCTATCATATCACCCAACAAGCAGAGACTGTGGAGACTTAAAACAGTTTCCAACTATTTGTTCTCTGTAAGCAAATTCCCAAGTTTCATACATCCTTTACCAGCTCAAATTAAATCCATGTCTACAGAATCACAGTCTCTTGTCCCTAACTTGTGTTTGTACGTAGGACAAACACGAAACATAACCAAATAAGTGAAGTTTGTTTTATTGTAAAGGCAAAGGTTCCCCTTGGCACATAAGTACTAGTCATTCCCAACTCTAGGGGGTGGTGCTCATCTCCGTTTCAAAGCCGAAGAGCCAGCACTGTCCGAAGACATCTCCGTGGTCATGTGGCCGGCATGACTAAATGCCAAAGGCGCATGGAAGGAACGCTGTTACCTTCCCACCAAATTGGTTCCTTTTTTTCTACTTGCACTTCTACATGCTTTCGAACTGCTAGGTTGGCAGAAGCTGGGACAAGTAACGGGAGCTCACTCCATTACCTGGTGCTAGGAATTCAAACTGCCAAACTGCCAACCTTTCTGATCGACAAGCTCAGGGTCTTCGCCACTGAGCCACCGCATGCCTCTAATGTAGCTTTTATTGCAAAGGTACATTAACTTGAATCTTGGAAGTCTGGAAGCACAATTTTCCCATCTAGGTTTCCTAGTGCAGGGTTCTCCAATCCCTGAGCTGCAGGCCACAACCGGGCCATGGCCTGTTCAGACGGGGACCACATAAGTGATGAGCTAAGGTGGCGCAGTGGGCAGAGTGCAGTACTGCAGGCCACTTCAGCTGACTGTGATCTGCAGTTCAGCAGTTCTAATCTCACCGGCTCAAGGTCAACTCAGCCTTCCATCCTTCCGNTTTTTAATCAAGCCCCCCCCCCCCCGGTCAATGGTGTCCCTCTTTACCAATCTGAAAATCTGGTCACCTTACCATATAGGGATCCCTTTACCTGCTATGGCTGCAGCCTTGGAGACCCCAAGATCTTTTCTCCCTCCTTCCTTCTCCTCCTCGATCTGGAGGAATATGCAGCATTCAAGGCATGGGGCAGAGTCTTCATGATACTGTAAACCTGGACATAATTTTTCATCCTGATCCTGTTCCACTTCCACTGAGCCTCCAGTGGGGCTTTCTGGGTGCACCTTTTACGGCCTTTAACAGAAAATACATGTTTTGAAACATGTTCCACTGTTCTGTGGAAATAAGGATCATGAAACTTTTCTTCAACACAGACCAGAAGAGAAAAGAGTATACTCCAAAAATATTTTACAATCCCGGTGGAATTATACAAAAATGCACAAGAAATATTAGAAGAACCTCTATTAGAAGTATTCAATGAATCGCTAGAAGAAGCTAAAATATCAGCATCATGGACAGAAGCAACAATAACTCTCATACCAAAAGAAGATTCAGACCTTCAGAAAATTCAAAACTATAGACCCATCTCATGGGATTATAAAATAGTTGGATTATAGTTGGATTATAAAATATTTGCCTCAATTATGTCAGAAAGGATTAAACAGATTCTAAATCAGTGGTTCTCAACCTGTGGGTCGTGACCCCTTTGGGGATCAAATGACCCTTTCACAGGGGTTGCCTAAGACCATTGGAAAAGACGTATTTTCAAAGAAATACAGAAAACAAAATAATTTTATGGTTGGGGGTCACCACAACATGAGGAACTGTATTAAAGGGTCGCGGCATTAGGAAGGTTGAAATCTAAATGAATAGATTCACCCAGATCAAAATGGTTTTCTTCCATACAGACAGATTAAAAATAACATGAGGACTATAATAAACATCCTAGAATATTATGAAACACCAGGAGAAACAAACTGCACTGGTTTTCCTTGATGCCCAAAAGGCATTTGACAATGTAAATTGGAAATTCATAACATTACAATTAGAAATTACAAAATTTGAAGAAAAATTCATAAAAGTGATAGAAAAAATATGCACAAACCAAACAGCAAAAGTGCTTATGAATGGGGGATACAACAGAAAAATTGAGATAACAAAAGGAGTAAGGCCACTTCTGTTTATTCTAACCTTAGAAATAGTCCTAACCAGAGTTAGGAAGGATCAAGAGATAATGGGGCTAAAAATCAAAAAGAAAGAGTATAAAATGCAAGCTTCTGCTGATGATTTAGTATTCATATTGGAAGACCATTGGAATCCAGATTTAAATTAATTCAAAGGATAGAAGAATTTGGTGAGGTGGCAGGTTTAAAAATCAATAAAAACAAAACAGAAAATCCCAAACAGGCAAAATCTAAGGAGACTGATTGCTTCCTTGGCATTAGAAGATAGGCAGCACAAGAGTTAAAGGTCACCAACCTCGAGTGACACCAAACTCCATAGCTCTGTCTGACCTCTTCCAACAGACTCTGGAGAGAAAGAGACCCAACTGAAGTCAATTCCATGGTGTTTGAAGTTTCTTTTTCCAGCATCCCTTTCCTGACATGTTCTGACATGAAAGACTACAGAAATTGACCCCAGGAGTGTAGTTGTAGCTTTTCACTAACATGTTTTTCTCCAGCCTCTCCTCTGCACATGGAGCCCAGAAGAAGCTCAGGATCCCAAGAGGAGAAGTTGCTTCTCCCTGTAATTAAGACCACTTGGGCCTTTGAGATCTCCATATCTGTGATAGAGACAGCAGACTGAAGCAATATACAAAGGATCTTGTATCAGAAAAGGATAAATTATTTAAGTCAAGCACTGTTGAAACACGTTTAAGGACAGGCAGGATCTGTGCTCTTGATTGTACCTCTCTCTCCTTTCCAGGTGAAGCTGAGTGTTTCTCTGTATTAGGAAAGTTGCTGGCATTTCCATCTTGTGAGAATGCTTTGAATTCTTCCAAATGTTCCTGCTGTTGGTGTTAGAAACAGAAAAAGGATTAATAAAGCTCCATGAATTATGAACCTCCTGCTTCTGCTTCTGATGCTGCTGGTGTCCCAGTCAGTCTCTGGGAAGCTTGGAATGAAATGCCCACTGAGTCTGGAGCACCAGGATGGCAACAATCCATGGAGCTATTATAGGCCAGGAGACCATCTCATTGCTATAGTCACAACTGAAACACTAATATTGCCTATAACGTTGCCTTTCAACAGTGCTCCTTCTAGTCCATCGCCGTAAGTCATTCAGGGTGATTGGAGTTTTATCCCCTCCATTTGCAGTCCTAACACTCTCCTTCTTTTCTTCTTATGTCACTTACTTTTATATTACATAAACGCTCTAATTTCCTGAATGATTCTGATTTCCCTAGCTTGCCTATTTTTTCTTATTTTGTAGAAGATTCAAATCTAAAGATGGGGTTATAAAAACCTGAAGGCAATACAAATAATTTTTCTATCCCAGTTCAATTCTCAATTGATTCACACTTGAATTCATTTTGTTTAAATGAGTGATTGAAACAGTTGTAGTTGCCTCTGCCCAGCCCATTCCCAGATTTCTATAAGTGATTATTGATTTTGAATCAGTATTGGCTTAAGACTCAGTAGCCTTGTGGAAGCAAAAAGGAATAAATTCTTTTAAAAAGTTACTTGTTAGTGTTGATGAGAATAACATGAACATTTTTTTACAGTAAGGATTCTTTTGGTTTTTTAAACACTCTACGATTAATTTTCAATATTCAAATGGTCAACAAGAACCCCCAGCTCCTGCACAATCTCACACTTGGTTACAACCTCCATGACAACTATTTGGACACTTTACACACTTCAGATGCCTTGCTGGACATTCTCTCCACTGGAGAAGTCAATGTCCCCAACTACGGCTGTGGAAGGAAGGAGAACCTTCTGGCTCTTTTTGATGCAGCTAACAGTGACATCTCTATCCAGGCATCAACATTAGCAGCACTTTACAAAGTCTCACAGGTTTGTGTGTGTTTTTCTCTCTGATAAAGTGAGTTATGGGTGTTGGAGGGTGAGCAATAGATACAACCTTATCTTCTTCGTGTAATTCAAGAGCTGATTTTCTCCATGTTAGTGAATGAGTCGATTATAGCTTTCTTCTATTATGTTCTTGTTCAAATTCTTCATAAAAGGCCAGAAATGCAATAAGGTCCTTGAAGAGGACTTTCTCCTGGCTATGCCATTTCAAAAAAACATCCCTAGTTGGGTGAAATATTGGCATGTTCATTTTCACATAGAAATAACACCTGCAGCATGTGTGTGGGTATGTATATGTATATATGTGTATGGTTATGTATATCTATGTATATACATGTGTGTGTGTGTGTGTGTGTGTGTGTGTGTGTGTGTGTGTGTGTGTGTGTGTGTGTGTATGGAATAAAAAAGTTCATAGCAATTACAGGCCAATTAGTTTGGTTTGTGGCTAAAATATTTGCCATGTTCCTCTAAATTAAACTTGAGATTGAATAGAACAAAAGTGCATTAATTGCAGAAGAAAAAATAGAAGGTTTTTTAAAGAGGAAAAAAGTTTTATAAAATCATAAAATTAAGCAATGCATTAATAATCTAATATCCACAACATATTTGTTTTGAAATATCTAATTACATAATATGTCAGTTGGGTAAACCAGTTTTTTTTGGCTGTATGTTAGTGCAGCATTTGACACAGCAGAAAAATATGGTGGAGGAAATTGATTACCCTTAAAATGGAGGTCAGACTGTTGATCCTGATCCCAGCTCTTTCTCAAAGCCCTTGTTTGAAAGGGAGGTTTCAACTTTATGGAGCCATGAGAAGAAGGATCTATACTATACATGGCTAAAGTGCTAAATTGTTTATTTATTTAGCATATGGCAAAGGCATAATTAGCTAGGAGACTACAATGTTAGTACATAGTATTTGTTTGTACATAGTATCTGCCGTAGAGTGCTAGTCCATTCAGTTTATGCTCATGAGCTTCTCCAGGGTTCACCACAAGGGGTGAATTAGCTCCGCACCAGAAGGACGAGAGGTGTCCTGTGGCATCATGTGAACTTCTCTTACCACTGATGTCACCTTGCATTTGGCTGTCACATCCGAGCAAGTCCAGCACTGGCAGGGGCCCAACCATCTGCACAAAACATACCATATTTTCCACCAAAGTGATGCCTATTTATCTACTACTGTTGTCACATGTTTTCAAATTGCTAGGTGGGCAGAAACTGAGGCAAGTGATGGGAGCTCACCCTGCCATGCAGTGGTAGGACCAGTGGTGGGTTCCTAACCAGTTTACTACCGGTTCACTAAGAGAGGGCGTTTTGTACGTACGTAAAATTTTTGCCCCCCACCCCTTCTCTACAATATGGCTTCAGTTCATTGAGGTTTGTGGGGTTTGTTTCTACACAGCCCTCTTGTGGTCTCACCACAATATTTCAATTGCGGTGGGGTCTGGACTCTGACTGGGCGATTGCAACATCTAGAGTCTTTCTTTTTTCAGCCACTTCCTGGTCTGCTTGGGGTTATCAGCCTCTTGCATGACTAAAGTCTCCCAAGCTTCAGCTGTCAGATAGATCCCCTTACCTTGGACTCTAGAACACTTTGGTACCCAGAGGACTTCATGGCCGTGTCAATGATCATAGGGTCCCAGGTCCTCTGGCTGCAAAAGAAGCCAAAATCATCACCCCTCCATCCCTGTGGTTGACGGTTGGTGTGGCATGTTGGTGCTGATATGCTGTGTGTGGTTTTCACCAAATATGGCTCTGTGCATTATGGCTAAACTTCTTCTCTCTGGTCTTGTCTGTCCAAAGGAGAATGTTCCAGAAGTCTTGTGGTCTGTTCAAAGGCAACATGGCCAACCTCAGCTATGCTGCCCTGTTCTTTTTAGAGAGCAATTTCCTCCTGGAAACTCTTCCCAACAAATCAAAACTGTTCAGTCTTTTTCTGATTCTGCTGTCTTAAATTGGAACATTTAACTGAGGCCTGTGGAGTCTGAGGTGGAACTCTTGGGGTTGTTTGTCATGTCTCTGAGCATTGCATGGTCTGATCTTGGGTGAACTTCCTGCAATGGTCCTTCCTGGGAAGGTTGGCAGCTGCCTTGAATGTTTCCCCCTTCTAAGTAATCTTCTTCACTATAGAATGATGGACGTTAAATTGTTTGGAAATGGCCTTGTAAACCTTTCCCAGATTGATAGGCAGCAACAATGGCTTCTCTAGGATCACTGCTGGGTTCTTTACCTTTTGGCATTGTGTTAACACACACCTCAGTGCTGGAGACCAGCAAAATCCTGAAACTTTAGCTTTTATAGAGGTAGCCACACTTGTGATGATCGATGAATGAAGGTCCCTTGATCAGCAGCACCGAGCTCCCTCTTAGTCTCTTCACACCTATTAAAGCAGTAAGTGTGTCCTTGGCCTTTCACACCTAGCTTCTCCATTTTGGATCTCTTTCTGTAAAATACATGATGACAGGATGTAATATGTCCATTGTCGTTGTTCATCTGAGGTTGCAGCTACCTACTTTTAAGAAATGCTTAAGACCAAATGCTTTTTACTATGTCTTGTAATTTGAGAAATCATATTAGGAGCTGTGGTCTCCCTATCTCTTGTATAACTAGGTGAGACACAAATAAAAACAAAAGTCAAAATATTGCTTCAATAAGCATTTGGAATATTGAATGTCAACTGCATAAGAAAGAAAGAGCTCAGAGTCTTGGCTTGCACATTAGACAAATAACCTATTGGGATAGATTTGCTGTTCAATCAGAATTAAACATTACATATAATACAGCCCTTTATTGGAACAAAACATTCACTTGATATTTGCATATGTGTGTCTGATTGTCCCAAAGGTGCTTTTTCAAGAGGCCACTGGACTTTCTGGTTTTTCTTTGAAGACATTTTGCTTCTCTTCCAGAGCTGAAGAAGCTTCTTGGATTAGAAACGAAATTTCTTCAAAGAAAAAACAAAAAGTCCAGTTGCCTCTTGAAAAAAGCATCTTTGGGACAACCATGACCTGGATGACTAAGATTGTACATAGACATGTGGGTCTGATTACAATCTTTTTTTATTTAATTTGTTTCTTGTTTTCCATTTTCATATAGTGTTGTTAACGCTCTGTGCTTAATATTCTGTTTCTTGCTATGGCATAATTGCTAATTTGTTCATCAATACTAAGTTGAATTTATTAAAAAAATAAAGTTTCAGACTTTATCTGACCCCTCCCCCCAATGTAACAATGCTTTCTTCCTTCCTTTTTTCAGATCACCGATAATATTGTTTCAGAGACTCTGAGTGATAAAAGCAAATTCCCCTTTTTCCACCAGATGGTCCCCAAAGAAGGATTCCTGTACCCAGCAATTGTCCAGCTGCTCCTCCATTTCAGCTGGACCTTCATTGGCCTCTTTGCTTCAGGCACAGAGAAGGGAGAGAATTTCATGAGGACTTTCACTCCTATGCTTGTCAGGAGTGGAATTTGTGTGGTTATATCACAACTTTTCTCAAGAATTGGATATACAGCGCCCTTCAGGGAGGCCCTCTCTAAGTGGAGACAAGTCAATGTCTATGTTCACTTCATGGATCATGTTCCCGTTACGGACAGAATTGTTCCTTTCCATTTAACACTTATGCGCCTCCCAGGACCCATTGAAGGGAAAGTCTGGATCAGTACAGCTTTGGGAGGATTTCAGTTTAAAAAGCACAAGCACAGACTTGTTAAATACATGCATAGTTTTTGGACCTTTGCTTTTCTGCCAAAAGAAAGGCCAAAAGATTCTGCCTTTGAACCCAATTTCTTTGTGGAAGATCCATTTCAAGATCCTTATTTTCACTGTTCTCTTTCAAAGAACGTCTTTTCTGTCAAAGGCCGCAGAAGATGCACCCAGAAAGCCCCACTGGAGACCCAGGAGAAAAGGAACTGTGTCCGGATCAGAAATCACTCCCATTTATACAGTTTTATTCAGACTTTGGCCCAGGCCATGAACGCTGCCTATTCCTCCAGATCGAGGAGAAGGGGAAGGAAGGAGGGCGAAAAGATCTTGGGGGCTCCAAGGCTGCAGCTGTGGCAGGTATGGGCTCCCAATATTGTGGAATATGAAGTATTGCTTCTAAAATAAAGTTTCATTATAGCTTCTGCATAATAAATAGAGAAAATAAGGAACTGGGAAGTTAAGGAACTTTTTGAAAAGCTCGTGAAAACCATCTTGTTCTTACAGTCAACAAAGTGATTCAGAAAAGTTGAGAAAGAAAAGGGGGAGGTGCTTTCTGAGCAATAGCTTAACTGGCACATTTCAAAATATAACCGATTTATGCAAAAGAGAGACGGAAAGTTGGTGATGTTAGATACTAGCTTCAGTTCTAATGGTTTCCACCAAGATCCTCTGTTCTGGCAGGAACAGAGGTTTAATCTCATTGGTCGAAGGGTCTGACAGCTCCCTATAAAAGGGCTGCTGTCAGACTCAACCTTTGCTGGATTGTTCTTACGTGTTGTGTTATAATAAAGAGCTGTTGTTGCCTTTAGCCTGAGTGTGCCTATCCATTACCCGATCTAACAGGTGACGGATAACTACATCAGGCCATGGAGACAGGGGGTTGCTGGGGGAAATTGTTGAACAGGCACTCCCAATAGGTTGAGAGCTTGGAAGTACCCAGCCAATGGGGACACAGGACAGTGTTGAGTGACGGGAGGAAGGGCATGAAACCTCTTGCATGCTTTGATCCTGGTGTACCTGGTATATCTGCAGATGCATTTGAAGAGAAATAATAATAGAATATGTAGAAGCTTGTTAGACATAATACTGGTAGTAGAATATACTATACTGGAATAATAAAATCTGTAGAAGCTTGTTATTCTATTCTGTAAACCTTTGCTTCAGCTAAACCAGGGGTAGTCAACCTTTTTATACCTACCACCCACTTTTGTATCTCTGTTAATAGTAACATTTTCTAACCGCCCACCGGTTCCACAGTAATGGTGATTTATAAAGTAGGGAAGTAACTTTACTTTATAAAATGTATAAAGCAAGAGTTACAGCAAACCCCTACCGCCCACCATAAAAGCTGGAATGCCCACTAGTGGGCGGTAGGGACCAAGTTGACTACCACTGAGCTAAACCTTTGTTTCCTGTAACAAATACATGCTGTATTAGGTATCTGCCGAACACTTGCTCCTGTCATCAGTCTGAACCCCATACATCATCCTCAGGGCTCACCCAGGGGACACATATGGGGGCACCTTGTTGCAATTCACACCTCAGTTCTAACTTACACCTTTGGTCTGTGTTGCTAATCACTCACCCCACCCGCTGTTCCCTGCTGCACAGCCCATGCAGGGCTACAAGGAAGGCATGGCCCGGGGAGTATTGGGTACTAAGCTGATGTCTCTAAAGGTATAAAAGGAGGCCATGCCTTCTCTAAGGTGTGGCCTTCCTTACATGTTTCTTTTGTACATGTTTGGGCCCAGCTATTTGCTTTGGTCAAATTAAACGCTGATTTTTTCTCAAGCCTCCACTTAAGTTCTTCTCTTGGCTCTTTGCTGACTTAAGCACATCTCCAAAACTTACACATTAATAAACTTTTGCTACTTTTTGGTACCAGATTGCCTTCCTTGCTTTATTTCCTATTTCTAACAATATGGAGTTCCTTTACGGAAGGAACCCAGAGGAGAAGGAGGGGAACCTTCTCAACCACATTGTCCTTCAGAAGATCAACAGTTGGGCCAATCTAATTGCTTGAGACATAATCTAAACAGCAGGCACCATGACAGATATGTTTTGGCTTTAAACACTGCTAATTTTAAAAGGATGTATGCATTTTAAATACATTCATGTCTTTATGGGTTTGTGATTAGCCGAGTAGAATTATATATCAGTAGCTTTGAAGGACACACTGAGGTCATCCAGCCCAACCCTCCTCTCTGCAGGAATCCCAGTCCAAGCTTCTCTGACTGATGGCTGCTCAGTCTTTGCATCCCCAGTGAAGGGGAGGCTGAAGTTCTCTGCTTTGAGGGCTCAGCTCTGAAATTGCTCCTATATTCAGGGTGTTTTTCCTTCCCTTCAGCCAGAATCTCCTCCCTTCTGACTGAGTTCATCCCCCCATTTCCCTCCCTCTGGAACAACATTGAGAAAATCTGGAGCTTCTGGGCAATTTCTTCCAGTTATCGGAAGAGGCAGGAGGGGATTTACGACCACAACTAAGCTCAGCATTTCTGTTGCTAAGCAAGATGGTTGTTTTGCTCTATTTTATGACCTTTCTTGTGAATCATTGAAGTTGTTAAGTCAGAAACATGGTTGTTAAATGAATCTGGCTTCCCTATTGATTTTGCTGTTGTAACCTTCATAAGTGGATGCCAAGAATTCTGATTTTGATCCCCTGGAGACCCTGGAGATGCTGCCATGATTGTGGAGGAAACTCATAGGTCACTTTTTTTCAGTGCCCTTGTAACTTTATACAGTCACTAAATTAATGGTTTCCCATAATCAACTTGATGTTTTCTAGGTGTTTATTTATGAATCTTTTTTTTCTATGATTCATTTTATTTGTCATCTGCTCTAGAGTGTCCACTATAACTTACCTATTGCATGAATTATATTCCGTTAATATATATTTTGCCAATATATGGTTGAGGAATTTTGCTGACTGTTTTTTAATTTATGAAGATAACAGTAAAATCTATTTTTTTCTAAATAAGAATACTTTGATGTTAGAAATCTGTAAAAGGAAGATACAAGCATATAAAAGCTAAATGGGATTTTTTTTTTAAAAAAAAAAGCTTTCAGATTTTAAACTTTCTGGATGTTTTCCTCCTAGTTCCATCCTTTCCTGCAGAAGAATGAGTTTTGCAATATTTCTGATAGGAAACTGTACTTGGATCAAAATGGAGATGTAGCAGCAGATCTGATAATCCTGAGCCAGTTGATTATCCCCAAGGAGGATTCCATTGGACACTATATGGGGACTTGGGAAAGACAGAGACTCACTATCCACCAAGGAGTTCTTTCGCGGCTAAAGTTGTTTAACAAGGTGGGAGAAATTTTGGTGTTTTCCCCCTTCCCCCCCCCCACAAAGATTTAGGACCCATTTCATGTGGACCAAGCCTGTTAATCTGTTAAATCCGTTAGAGTGCAGCAAGTGGGAGATGAAATATCAGCAGAGAGCCAGAACGTGCAAGGACGAAGCCAGGAAAGGAGACTCTCAGAAGAAACAGACCTTTTAAAAAAAGTTCCTTCCAAGATATTAATAACAAGAAAAAATATCAAGGAAACAGTTGGTCCACTTAAGAGAGAAGACGGCAAGGAAGTAAAAGGCAGCAGAGAGAAAGCAGAGCTGCTCAACTCATTCTTTGCATTGATCTTCATGCAAAAATAAATTATAGCCCCATCTATGAAAAAAAGTGACGGTAAATGACAAATTAGAAATAAAAATAAGAAAATGGTAAGAGAGAAGCTTTCTTACCTTGATGAATATAAATCACTGGGACTTGACAGATTACATCCCAGAGCTGTCAGATGTCATCTCAGAACCATTGTACCATATCTTTCAAAAATCCTGGAGCACCAGAGAAGTACCGGAGGTTTAGTCTCCAGACAGGCAAAATCAAAGGTATAAGTACAAATTAGGTGAGACCTGGCTCAAAAACGAACAAAAACTGTGAGCGGGGCCTTGGAGTCCTAGTGGACGATCAGTTGAACATGAGCCAGCAGTGTGCAGTGTCCATTCCATTCCCCCATCTCCATCTGTCTCATTCTCTGCCTCTCTCTGTCCCTGTCCCTGTCCCTGTCCCTGTCCCTGTCCCTGTCCCTGTCCCTGTCTGTCTGTCTGTCTGTCTGTCTGTCTGTCTGTCTGTCTGTCTGTATCCAGAGGTGGTATTCAGCAGGCTCTGACCAGTTCTGGAGAACTGGTAGCAGAAATTTTGAGTAGTTCAGAGAACCGGCAAATATCACCTCTGGCTGGCCCCACTCCTATTTGCTGCCTCCCGAGTCCCAGTTGACCACCTGGGTCTTATTTTGTTGCCCTGCAGAGGAGTACAAAGCTGGAAAGCAGGTTGGTGGGGTAGGGAGGGAATGGAGATTTTTCAGTATCCTTCCCCTGCCACACCCACCACGCCACACCCACCAAGCCATGCCATGCCCACTAAGCCACATAGAGCCAGCAGTAAAAAAAAAAAATCCCACCTCTTTGTATCTCTCTATTTTTATTCTATTCTATTTCTATCACTTATCAGGCCCAATGGCCTTTGCTGAGAATTGAACATGGGGAGTAAAACCTTATAGTTTCATTCATTGTATAGACTACCTGGGAGGTTTTAATACCATTGAATAAGGTGCTCTTCAGATGCTTTAATATTGGAGACTTTTTTTAGATGATTCATCCTGGGATGAGAAACCCTCAAGTGTTGGAGATTGTGCTGTTAATAGCCTCAGGTTGGCTTCTTCCTTGTCCTCAAAGAGCAAAGCAGAAGGGAATTCTGTTGAACAGACCCTGAATTCAGGTGTGGACTGAATGCAATGGTGTACTAACCATTAAGCAGACTAAGCACGTGCTTAAGGGCGCCAGGCCCAAAGGGGGCACCACAAAGTTGAGAAAGACTTCATTTGTGCAAAGTATGTGCAAAGGACATGGACACCAAGATTGGTCAGTGCTTAAGGCACCAGTGAGCCTTAATCCACCACTGACTAAATGAGATTGGATGGAGATGGCTGGATGGAGCTCCTGGTGGTCCCATTGGGAGAGAAGCTTCCTCTTGTCTTGCTTAGGGAAAGGCCATTGGTAAATGGCTCCCTGAAAGGGCAGGTCCAAGGTCTGTGATAGTTTTCAGTGGTCCAGCCCTGGTCAAAATTAGCGATATCTGTCTTTCACCCAACTTGGGGGGGGGAGCAATTGGCCTTCTGCCCCTAGGAAGGAGGTCCAAGACTTTCAGTTCCCATAAAATGACCTGTGAGATAATCCCTTGACCCAGAAACACGACTTTGATTCAAGGAAAAGACCTTCCTGATGTCAGAAGTAAGGAGAGAGATTGTGACAGGAAATGCTACTTAGATTTGGCCTTTGGCTCTTAAGAGGGCTCTTCAGCTGAAAATCCCTTCAACAGCCTTATTTATCTAGAATGTTAACCACCTTCAGTCTCTTTGGGCAGTGGTGGGATTGAAATAATTTAACAACTGGTTCTCTACCCTAATGATTTCTTCCAACAACCAGTTCACCAAACTGCTCAGAAAGTTAATAACCGGATCTCCCAAAGTAGTACAAACTGGCTGAATCCCACCAATGCCTCTGGGTGAAAAAGAGTCTCCCAATTTAACCAATATGAAATGTGGGTCTGTCTTTCCATGCCAGTTGGAGTCTCCCTATTGCAGTTCTTCAACACAAAGGACTTTCTCTTGGATAACTGGATGGGCCTTAGACATATCTCCTTCTGACCCAGGACTCACACTCATCTCCCATCTGTTGCAGCCAAAGATCTGTGACTTAATCTTTTTCAGGGAGACTTTCTCATGATCTCCCCTCAGTCTCACTACAGTTCTAGAAACTATGCAGAAACCTCTTAATAAAGGAGAATATTGGTAGCTCAGGGTTAGGGTTAGGGTTAGGGTTAGGGTTAGGATATGAGGGCTCCTTGATGCTCTCTGAGCTTCCTTGTTTTCATGCAGACGTTTCATTACCCAACTAGGTAACATCAGTAGCTATAATTTATGAGGATTTTTTCCTTTATCTCTTAACTGGGAGACTGTTTTGAACTCGTGTCAAAGGGGAGCAGCTTTGCAAGGCTTTCTCTAGTCCAGAAGAAACCTTTCCAGAAGCTTCTTTTTTAATCACATTTTATTTTACTTAAATAAGTCTAATAAAATAACCTTTTAAGAAATCTTTGACAATAAATGTATTCAAAATCTAATACGGGATCATCCTAACCATGGATAGATGAAGGGTGGAGGAATGCATTTTAATACAGACATGAAGAGGAACTGATTGTTTGTCACTTAATGCTTAAACCTTTACTCAATTCCATCCCTCCAGTCTTTATTAAGTGGAAAAGTCCTTTATTGCAATGCTAAATGCCAGAAGCAAAAGGGAGGAACTAAAGAAAGAGCCTGCCAGAGTCGCATCTCCTACACGTTGTCGCTATGCAACCGCTCTTTAACCATTTTTAATTAGTAAAAGTACATTTGATTTTCCACATATGGAGTCTCATGGTCTTTCTTTCCTAATTATTAAATGGAGAGGTGCTGACACACGTGTTTGGAAGGAGTCAGAGATTTCATATTTACCTACATAAAGCCCAGAATGTACTTGTCTA